CCTCTATCACAAACAGAAAGATAAGTCTCGTTTTCATTTAACGTTTGTGTTGACAAGTACTAACAGATTTTTTTATTTTATTTTTGAAGCTTTACTACTAACAGATTTTGATACCAGAAAATCAATGTGTTTTCATTTAAAAGTAGTAAACACATTAAATTAAAGTAAAAACAAAGGCAAAATTTATCAAAAAGAAGAAAAAAAAGAACCAATAGTTTTTTTCAAAAAACAAGAAAAACGAAAGCAAAAGTTTATAAAAAAAATCGAAATCTTATAATATTGGGAATTGGTATATATGATTTGGCCATTGTGGGATTTTACCTGGCGGTTGCTGCGGCTGGTTCGTGTTGTTACTTGTGAGTGAAGAAATGCCTTTTTCCATGGAATCTTGAACAAGTGTAGTATCTGCATGAACAAGATTGGCTTTCTTTGCTTCTTCTTCTTTCATCCTCTCCATTGTATCTTCCTCCGCGACGAAAGAAGTTGTGATGCTCACAATTGGGAATATCGTGATTCTTGAAGCTTGGTTGAATATGGCAATGGAAACTCCAACCGCAGCTAGCTGAACCGCTCCTAAACGCCCGACAAAAGCGGTGTCAATCAGAGACGCTACTGGATCAGCAGCTAACGCCAAAGCAGCCGGAAACGCCATGCTTAGTATCTCTCGACCAATTGCATCCATACTAAACACATGGCTGCAATTTTGTATATGAATAAAAAAACGTTATGCATCAGCATCACTTCTTCTTTATTTTTTAGCATTTCATATAAACATGACACTTACGTTAAATCTTTGAAGATCACGAGAAATGGGATCGGCCTGATCACGTTTATTGGAACCGTAGTAGCATCACCAGATTCCGTCATGGATCTTTTTCTCCTTTCGAAACTGTCTCTGTGATTAATTTGTCGTGTCTGAATAATCTTTAAGTGTTTACGAAGAATCGGATATGCAAAGGGATCGTTTATATTAGGGAGTCTATGTACAAATGTATCTGTATTTATAGACACGTAATGAGCATGCATATCTTTAATATTTAATTTAATTAGAAAAAATGTATTTGTTTTGTTTTACTTTCTTTTACTTTCCTTCCCTAACTTTTTCCATGCTTTTTATTTCGGTCCAGACTAAAGACACCAATAATATGGATTTTTTTTCTTCTTCTTTTTAGTCAAGGAAGATAGGTACAAGTCGTATTAAATAATTACATTAGAACCTTCAATTTGGCTTGGGCTTCTTAATTAATTTTTCTAAGATTTAATTCTTAAATAAATAGGAAAAATATAGTACTCATGAACTATATAACAAAAATATGGTACCGAAGCTGACTGTGTATGAAACATGCATATCTTTTTTCATTGAAAGTTTTATTACTTGTATTCATCATAGTGGGAAAGCGTTTTAATTTCTCCTTAGATCTTCATTTATTATTTGATATCTTCCACTAATAAAAAGTGAATCATTTTGCACAATTGAAATTCTGTACTAGTTGCCAAAAACGTTACTTTATCACTAAATAGCGCAATTCATAACAAAGCTTCTTTTTTTTCGACAGTTAGAAAAAACTTATAAGTATTTTTTAGTTTTTGTTAAATAAAATTTAAATATTAGTTAAAGGAAGGCGATAGTTGAAAAAAATAAAAATGAAAATAAAAGATGGCAACACAGACCAACACAGGTGATTTGTATATAGTGCGTGTCGTGTATGTAATTGTTCCGTAAGATAAGGCCATTTTTCCCAAAGCATCCACGTCTATTTCATTACCTACATTACCACTTCTCCCTTTCATTTTTAAAAAAGATGAACACATATATAGTTAATTATGATTTTATATAATTTTTTTTACTTTATACATGCATAAATATGTCAATAAATCGTTATTGTCTAATCTATATTCATTTCGATTCCTTTAAGTTGTATATTTCGAAATTTTCACACCTTAAGAGGACATTATTTACAATACCAAATATAACTTAATTCAAT